GGGCCGCCGCGGGGTCCAACGTTAGCGCCCCCGGCCGCGGGGCGGAGGGGACTCAGGGCGCGGAGCCAAGACGCGGGCGCTGGGAAGGGGCCGCGCGTGGCGGGGGAGGGACCCGCCCGTTGTTGTGAAACGTCCCAGCCCGGACCCGAGGCGCGCTGCGGCGAAATTCAGCCAAAAACGCCCAGTTCGGCGGTCAGGCCACCCCCGCCCGAAACAAACCACCAGCTCCGGCCAGAGGCGGTCCCGGCCGGACACGCTGCCCCCCACACTCACGAGCCTGAACCCTTATACTCACCCACCCACACACACACGCACACACACGCGCGCACACACACGCACACACACACGCACGCAGAGCTCACACGCGCGCGCACACACGCACACACGCGCGCACACACGCACGCAGAGCTCACACGCGCGCGCACACACGCACACACGCACGCACACACGCACGCAGAGCTCACACGCGCGCGCACACACGCACACACGCGCGCACACACGCACGCAGAGCTCACACGCGCGCGCACACACGCACACACGCACGCACACACGCACGCAGAGCTCACACGCGCGCGCACACACGCACACACGCGCGCACACACGCACGCAGAGCTCACACGCGCGCGCACACACGCACACACGCACGCACACACGCACGCAGAGCTCACACGCGCGCGCACACACGCACACACGCGCGCACACACGCACGCAGAGCTCACACGCGCGCGCACACACGCACACACGCGCGCACACACGCACGCAGAGCTCACACGCGCGCGCGCGCACACACGCGTAAGAGACGGAGCCGCGTGATGGAGCCAGTTCTGAAGGTCAAGTGCCGTCAGGCGTTGGCAGCTTCACTCGGTTCGATCCAATACGCGCACGAAAACGGTGCCTCCTGGGCCTCTCCCGGGACAGCGCCGCGAGCACACAATGCGGCAAGCGCGCTGTCCCAAGCTGTCCCCTCCCTGTCACTATTGCGTTACCCAGTTTTATTTTCTTTCGGGCACTTAGGACTATAGATCTAATTTATGAGTCTACTTGTTTGGGGGTTTCCTGTTCCCCCAACCCCCAGGGCAAGCTCCAAGGAGCTGAGGAAGTTGAGCTCTGTTTGTGCTGAAGCCCCAGCGCCCAGAACAGAGTTCAACAGGCAGTGTGGGCTCAGGACACACGCGCACACGCCTGATCTGCCAGCACTGGCCCCTCTCCACTCCCACCTTCACTCACGCCCACCCCACCCACTCTGGGTGCCCTGCCGCCGAGCCAGAGCCCGTCATACTCACCGTGAGTGAGGAGAAGGTTAGGCAGATGCCACCAAAGCCATTCAGGGACAGCGCCAGGAATATCAATGGAGACAGAACTGGGAAGGCGAGAGGGGTGAATGAGGGCGTTGGGGAGCTGTGGGAGGCCAAGGGCAGAAGTTGGGGTAATCATCCACCTTCATCCCACTCATTCTTCTCTTGTGGGGGCACCAGAGGCCAGACCTCTCACCTTTGGTGTCCCGAGAGGCCAGGGCCATCAGGGAGCAGGATGCAGCAAAGCTGGCGCTGTGGAGATTGGGGGGCAGGGGGGACTGTGAACACTGAGAGCCTTCCCTCCCCCTGCAACACCAGTCCCTGCCCTCCAGCTCCCGGAGGCCCCGCCTGGCCACCTCACCTGCCAACCAGCCGTGTGGGCCGGGGGCCAAAGCGGTCCATGAGGATCCCCAGTGGCAGGGTGGTGGCGCTGAGCACGAAGGAGCCGATGGTGAAGCCCAGGACGAGCATCTCTTCCTGACTGTCACAGCTGGGCCACTGATGCTGTTCATCCTGGCTGGTGTTAGTGGTGTTCTTAGCTGAGGAGGGGAAGGGAGGGCTCAGCACATAACAGCAGGAGCAGCTGGGTGTAGGAGAGAGCAGCCTGGGTGGGGTCAGGGGTCCTGTACTCAAATCCCATGCCTCTCATTCACTGCCAGCCAGGTGACTTTGGGGGTGGCCTAGAGTCATATCTACTCGTGTGGGGAAGGAGCTCCATAAATGGCAGCAACTAGTATCTTACCCAGGGGGAGTCACACACCTAATGAGAAGCCTCAGCTGGCTCGAATATATAGTGAGCACCAAAGTCTTCACCAAGGTGTAAGGATTTCTCAATGTCCAAGCTTAGGGTGGGTAGACCCCCACAGGAAGCACCCTCGAATCTGGGGACAAAGTCAGTGAGTGATCCTTAGCTGATGTAACAAGAATTCACTTTAAATTTAGACAAAGCTTTCCCCATAAATGACACCCTGATAAAAATAATAGCTACTATTTACAGAACACTTGGCTATGTTCTAGGCATGTTCTCAACAGCCCCTGAATTAACTTACAACAGTCCCATGAGCCAGCTAATAAAGTATCTCCATTCTCCAGCTGATAAAACTGAGGCGCAGAATTAGGACCATGACACTGCCCTCCAATACCCTTTAGAAGATCACCTGGAGTAAACACCTGTCCTACAAGTAAACTGCCAACTTGGAGTTGTGACAAGTTCATGAAAAAGGCTTGTAGTGGGGGAAGGAGGGTGATTTCACTTCACTCAGTGCTCAGTGAGCCAGAAGGGGGCGGCTCCCCTGCCTATTTGTTAACCTAGACATCACTGCCAAGGGCAAACTCAGGGTGCACCTGGAAGGCAGGCAGACCAGGGTCTGAATCCCCGCCCCATCCTTCCTAGCTGTGTAGCCTTAGACAAGAAACTTCCTCTCTTGGAGCCTCAGGCTCCTTGCCTGTAGAAGGGCGCAGAGAATGCCGAATCCACAGGCTTCTCGGGAAATTCCATTGGAGGAGGTGAATGTAGACACATGCACTGGGCCTGGCCCAGAAAAGGTACTCCAGAAATAGCTGATGAAGGGGAGATAATGCCCCCCCCCACCCCCAGAAAGTCAGATGCGGCCAGCTGCTTCTCTAGGTGCGGAGATCCCACAGTGAGTAAGACAGGAAGCTCTCAGCTCTCATGGGACTTATATTAGATAATAAATAAGCGGGCGCTGATTTAAAGAGAAGCAGGTGCTGTGATAGGAGGCTGTGACAGTGCCTGAATGCTGGGGGCGGGGTGGGGGAGCACTGCTCTCATTGGTGACAATGACCCTGATTGCAGATGTTTGAAAGACTTGCAGGTGGCAGAAGGGTGGAGTGATCTGTGTTAACATAAAGAAGAACATTAAAAATTTTCAGATGAATGCTGGCCAACCAGGCGCGGAAGCACCTTGGACGGTGGTGAGATTGTCCTCAGTGAGGCTGGTGCTCAGGCCCCTGGGAGAAGCAGTTAGGGGTTGAGACCACACAGCCTTTGGGGTTCAGGCTGAGCCCATGATTTAGTGATCTTTATGATCGCTGTCCATTTTTCCACCTGGTTTGTCTGTGAGTGTTTAGTCAATCTACACTCATTTATTGGGCTTCTACTGTTAAATGGGCACTCCATTGGGACAGTGGGTAAAGCAAGAAGAAAAGCAAAGGTAATTGAGGCTGGAGGCTGGTCCTCACACAAGTTTTGCTTGGCTAGGAAATTTGAATTGGGCGTCAGTTTAAAATCAGGAGTTATTACATAAAAACCCAGAAGTCTGGCTTCTCTGTAAGGAGTCAGAAGGTCTGGCCATTGCTGGGGCAGAGTGGAGGTGACCCCTCTTCACCAGGGATTGCCCTCTCTAAGTCACCCAAGTCCTCACCTCACTTGTAGCTCTCAGACATTAGACATCTTACACCCGCCCTGATTTGCCGATGACTCACCAGCTGGCCTCTGCTGGCATTTGAGTGTGCAGCCTCTGAATTAGACACCGTCCCTGCTCCTAAGTCTTTGACAATCAAAAGACACTTTCTCTTATGAACAGCCCCACTAGCTCTAAATTAATTAACACCCACTTTATGCCAGACTTTTTCATATAGTATCTCATTTAACCCTCACAACAATAATCCTCATTTTATAGATGATGAGGCTCTAAGAAGCAAAACGGATCACAGCCTCACAGCTTCTCACAGGCAGGCTCAGATTCAAAGTCAAGACAACCTCCAGAGCCAACACTGCTCCGCTGCACCACAGGGCCCCTCTGTCCTGAAGGGGGCGGCTTAGCTAGTTTCCCCAGCTGGGGGGCGCCTGCTGCCAGGTAAGTGTGTCCTTCCACTGGTGCAGAATTCCAGCCCATGGGTTGCAAATAGCTCCGGGTCAATTAATGCATTCGTTTCCCTGGTGTATCAATCAGCCTCTTGTGAGTTTGACTTATACCAGCTAGTTCCTGAGACCTGATCACTCTACGTGGCTGGAAAAAGCCAGACCTCTGAAGCAAGAGGGAAGCAGGCCAAGATGCAAAGACCTCTTAGACCTCTCCCCGTGTCAAGACAACAGAAGAGGTCTTTGAAATGCAACCCAACTGCCCCACTTCCGTAGACAAGTCCAGTGAGGCATGGGAGTGGGGCAGGAAAAACATACTTGCTAAGTTGGTGATGGAGTTACACTTAGAAGGCAGGGAAAACAGTGTTCCCCAAATGTGGTATGCAGAGCAGGTGGGGTTCAAGGTGGATTTAAGAGGCACATGGAATGGGTTTTATGTTTCATAATTATTAGCTATTTGAATGAGTATTAAAAACACACATATGCATCTATATATATATACATAAATACAAATACATACACATGTGTATGCATAGGAACATATATGTATATTAGAAACGTGTACATATGAATATATTAGAAACATGTATGATGTGTGTGCATGTGTGTAAGTAATATCAAACCCAAGATTCCAAGCATATTACACTTTAAAATGAGGCTAATTATTTTTTATGTGGGTTGATTTAAAAGAAAGTATTAAGTAAATAACAGCACCTCTGGCACACAGAAATAGTAAAATCATGAAGGTGGACTACAAATGAGCAGGTTCGAGAAACACTGGAAAACAGGATCAAGGTTAAGCGTTCTGTCTCTGGAGTCAAGATCGTGGCTAAATGCTGGCTCCACTAGCTGTACTGCTGAAACCCTGAGGCTCGGTTATTCCACCTGTGAAATGGGGATAGTGGTGGCAGCCACCTGAGAGCTGGCTCTGAGGATTGCCGCACACTCAAACACCCACAAAATGATCCTATTTTGTCTCCCAGGCAGTGAACCCGTCCTCACCCCACTACTTCACTTTCCTGCAAGTCACATGGTCACTTTCACCAAAACTACCACAGGATTGGGCTCTAACTGGCTGTCTTGTCTGTACCTGGACTTGCGCAGGAGGACCCTAAGCTGAAAGAGGTTGGGGACAGACATCAACACTATTTCCATGAGGCCTAAGATAAAGGCTCCAGAGTCAGATCTGGGATTTAATCCTCACTCTGCTCCTTATTTATTAGCTGTGTGACCTCAGACAAGTTACTTAGCATCTCTGAGCTTCAGTTTTCTCTTCTATAAATGGGGTTAATAATACATCACATCATATACCGACATCGTGGATTTGTTGTGAGGACTAATGATCTAACTGGCAAACAGTAATTGTTTAATGAACCTGAGCCATTGTTTTCTTATTTGGGCACTTATGTGGGATATATAGTAGTGTGTATAAACTGAACTGTCCATGCCTAAATTCTGAGTAACATAGTCCTCTTTAGCTGTGATGCCCCTACAGGTGGGTCAATCACCCACCCCAGGGGGTACCTCAACAGAGGAATAGCAGAAAGCACTGAGAAGACAGAGAGCGTGGCCAGGGAACCCCAAAGCCGACACTAACGAACACCTCAATAATGAGCTCCACATTTGTTAAATGGCATCATCTGATCCTCACATCATTGTACAGACTTAAAAGTGGAGATCCAGAGAGGGTAGGTGACTTGCCTAAGGTCACGCAGCAAACGCTGGCAAAGCTGGGTCCAGAAAATAATAACAACCCCCATCAGTTGTCTGAATTTTGCAATTTTGCTCTCTCATTTCATCTTCACAACAGCCCTGAAGTAAGGAGCATTGGTCACCTTTTACAGATGGAATAACTGAGATAGTAAGAAAGTTAAGTAACTGGTTCATATCAGCCCGCCAGCCCATAGCACAGTTGGAAGTGATGTGCCTGCCTGTTTCCACACTTTATGGGGACACAGATTCCTGGCTGATTCTGTGTTCTTGCGACCCTGTAGAGAGAGAGGCCGAGACCACAGTGAATGGGGCTTTGAGAAAGAGAAACTAGAGTTTTGATAGGGGAGCATGATTAAGGCAGAATGGGGCACAGCACCGCCAATCAGCCTGACGTCTCAAGGATTGAGGCCGGAGCCCTTGAATGAAAGAGAGGTGAGGGTAGAGAGACACGTGCCCAGCTTTCCAAGAGCAGACAAATAAGTTCTGAGAATACAGGAGGGTTCACTTCCATCGCCTCTAGAGATCCCAAACAACCAGGCTCGGATGCAAACTCACATCAGTAGCCATCAGGGAAATGCAAGTCCAAGCCACAAGAGGTAACACTTCACATCCACTAGAACAGCCAAAATAAAAGAGATGAGTAATAACAAGTGTTGTCTGGGACGTGGAGAAACCGAAACCCTCATACACCACTGTGGGAATGTAAACTGGCGCAGCCACTTTGGAAAACAGTCTAGCAACTCCTCAAAAGGTTAAACACAGAGTCACCCTATGGCCCAGCAATTCCACTCCTGGGTATATAACATATCCCTAAGGGGAAGGAAGGCATATGACCACCCAAAAACCTGTACACAAATAGGAGCATTATTCATAAAAGCCAAAAAGTGGAAACAACCCACATGGCCATCAACCAATGGAGAGATAAATAAAGTGTGACAGATCCATACAATGGAGGATTCGCACAGCAGGAAGAAACCAAATCTTGACATGGGCTACATCATAGATGAACCTTGGAAACATCATGCCAAGTGAAAAAAGCCTGGCACTGAAGGCCACAAATAAGACGCCATTTACATGAAATGTTCAGAGTATGCGAATCGATTTCTGTCACAGGCAGACCTGAGACAGTAGTGAGTGACTGGGGGTAGAGGGTTATGAGGAGCATGGGTACTGCTAATGGGCACAGGGTTACCTCTTGGGGGAAAGGAAATGTTCTAAAATTGAGTGTGATGATAGCTGCACAGCTCTGAACAGACTATAAGCCATTTAACGGTACCTTATTTGTTGTCGTTGTTGCTTTCCCTTTGCAGGCATTAAGTACATTTATTCAACCGCAACTATTTCTTCAAAGACTACGTCTTTATTTTTAATAGGCTTTTTAAATTTTATTTTTCAATTTTTCAGTTACAGTTGACATACAATATTATACTAGGTTCAGGTGTACAACACAGTGATCAGACATTTATATTCCTTATGAAGTGATCACCTGATAAATCTAGTACCCCTATGACACCAAACTAGACATTTATAATAACTGACATTTATAGTAAATTACTGACTATATTCCCTGTGCTGTACTTTATATCCCTATAACTATTACTAAGTTGCAATGCTTTGAATAGGTGAGTTGTAAGGTATGTGGCTTATATCTCACTAAAGCTGTTATCCATATATTTTAAAAACTCAGGTGGAGGGATGGGCAGCAAAACAGAAGCAGGAGTTTGGAGATGATGAAAAAATTCTATTTTAAATATTGATTAAGGTGATAGTTCCTGAGGTATCCAAATTTGTCAAACCTCATCAGAATGCGTGACGTAATCTTCAATAAAGTTGATTTATAAAAAAAGGTGGAGAAGGCAGGAAGAAGCTACTGGATTGGCAGTGGCAGGCATCAAGGCCATGACTAGAGGGCCAAGTCCTCTCTAGTCTCCAGGATAAACAAGTCCAAGGGGGGACTGGGGCTCCCCACCTCCATTTGCAAATAGTGCTCCCCAGAGCCCTTCTAGCTCCCTGCCTGGTTCTCTCAGCCGCCCTGGAACACCTATCGCCTCATCCCAAGCCTGCTCCTCCTGACCCAACTTGCCTCCCCAGGCCAGCTGCCAACTCTAATCTCCACCCCTCCAGCACCCATCACCCTATAACTGGGGCCACCCCTTGATGCCACCTGCAGCTTCCTTACAGATTACCGTGGCAGGGGCGGAACAGCCTGCAGTGGAGCAGGTGCTGCCCACCCCCAAGGCCTCAGTTTTCTCCCACAGCCAAGGTAGGTGCCCACAGGGAGTTGAGTTGAGGGACCCAGTAAAGCCAAGAAGACACTAATATTTATCAAGCACCATTGACTCTCACAGCACCCCCATGGGATAAATACTATTCTTCCTCCCATTTTGCAGACCAAGAAGTTGAAGCTCAGTGTTTTAAAGAACTTGCTGATGTCACCCAGATGGTAAAAGTGGTGGAAGCTAGAATTCAAACCCAAGCTGGTCTTCCTCCAAGAGCCTGTTTCAAAATATGAAGGCTGGAGGGAGACTACAAGAAGGGTTAAATTCCACATCCATCCAGGTCCTCAGACTAAGCTTGTTGGCACAGCTCTCCTCCTCAGAAAAGGAAAATGCCCCACCAGCAGACAGCCCAGCGTGGATATTGGTTAGATGCAGTTAGGTTAGGTTATCTTGGAAATGGAATGTTGGAATTCCCACTCCCTCACTGTGGGTCACACAAAGTCAAGGTTACTGAAATAGAAAATAGGAACCATCCACAATGCCCTGCCTAGAGGAAATAAGGCTATTATTAACTTTGTACAAATGGGTGACTGGAAGACCTGAGGGCTCAAAGGCCCTGAAAAAGGAGTGCAGGCCCTTTCTAGTCAATCCACTTTGTAGGCTCTCTCATGGCTTATTTAGCCCTAGTCAGAAATCCCTCACCAGTTAGCTGTAGCACTTCCCTTCTAGACATCTCCGGCTTGCACTACCTGAGGCTTGCAGAGGCTCTGCATGCCCAACAGGATATGGGCATTGGGTGAAGACTGGTTTCGCTACACCAGGCAGAGCGGTCCCAGTGCCGCCCATTCTCCAGATGAAGTCTGAAGAGGTGAAGAAGTGGGCTGTCCAACTTCCTGCCCAGTGGCTGGGTTTAAGCAGCTCTGCTTTCTGTCCGCTCGGCCACCTGTCCTCCAGTGTCCACCATCCCCCTCTGCGACCCCTCTCCCAGCCCAAGTGGCCCCTTTTTGGGCATACCTGGGCACAAGCTGGAATAGAAGCCCTCGTTCTTGAGCATGATCAGCAGGGAGCCCCAGCCCAGGAGCACGGCAGAGAAGAAGAGGTTCTCCACCACGGCCGTGCAGGCCATCCACCAGCGCCTGCGGTACGCCTGCTGCAGCGTGGGGGCCATGCTGTCCGCGAGCCTGCACAGGAACAGAGCGCTAGGGGAAGGGCCCCACGGCGGCCCCGGGGAAGGGTCCTGCATCGTGGTGGCTCCCGACACCCCTCCAGCCAGCCCACGAGGGGGCCTTCATGGGGGCCCCACAGGCCCCTGGGCTTCCCAGAGGGTGCCGCCGCGCTGGCTCTGGGCGCGCTGGCAGTGCCAGAGGCGCACGCGGCACTGAGCTCCCGCCAGGCCACTATCGGGGACAAGAAAGGTCCTGTCTGTGCGCAGCAGCTGGCTGGCGCGCCGCCAGGCTCCTCCGCCCCAGAACAGGGCGCCCCGCGCCCCGCTCCCTGGGGCCGAACCCGCACCCCCCCAGTCCCCAAAGGCGAGCCCGGGGCAGAGCGCGCGCGGAAGCCACCCCTGGCGGGTACGGGGCCTCCCGCGCCAGGAAGGACCCCCAGAAGCAAGCGGGCGGAGGAAGGGGAGGTCCGAAGCCGGCCTAAGACACCCCCTCTTCCTGTTGCCCCAACGAGACCCCTCCTCTCCGCTGGGGCTGGGCGGCAGCTCGCCCTCCTCCGCTCCTCGCCGGGCCACCCGTGTCCCCACAGGCTCTCGGCCCAAGCCCAC